GCTTTAGGTATTTACAGGCCTCACTAAGGTTACCAGAGCCTTCTCTTCTCCAGGCTGAACTACCCCAACTCTCCCAACCTTAAAGCAGAAAATTATCTAATGGATCTGAGCCTCTCTTGAGTTTTCAGCCAGCTGTGCTTGGAGAAAACCTACGTGCTATGGCCTCTACCATATTGTATTTCAAAGTACAGCCTGGATCCCAGCTCCTCAGTCCACTGAGAGAAGGCAAATCAATCTCTTCCTAGCAAAACTAATTTAGAAATAAGGTTGGACATTCTCCATAACCCAAGCAGTTCTCATGATGCCCATGAAGAGCCTCCAGTCCTCTAATCCAAAAGGTTTTTGTTAATGGTTCTGCTTGAGCAGGAAAGGATTTGGAAGTGGGTAAAAATTAAGTTACATATTTAAGTACAACTTAAGAAATTCACCCTTCTGACTCAGTGAAGGTACTGATCATATGCGTAGAGTGGAGGAAAAAAATGTGTTCTCTAGATAAAAGACCAGCAGACAGATACTTAACACCAGTTAAATTGGGAGGAACTATTTCACTGATATAGTTGGTTATGGTTAGTACTATGTATACTATGGATGACCCTCTTTTATAGGGAATGAGATTAACAAACAAAAAAATCTAACTTCTACCCATAAATATCTAGTATTATTCAAATCACTTGTGGGGAAGTATCCAACTAATAGAAATTTGCTTGGATCATAAAAAAAAAATGCATAGAGAGTAGCAAAATCCTCCTGAAAGCGATCAAATGACAATTTGATGACATTATATAATATGTTTCCTCAATTTAGACAGGAGAAAGCTGGGAAAGATCCAAGACTGCACCAGAAAACCAGTTCATGATGGTTGGGTAGCACTTAGTACAGGACCTAGAAAACACAATTTGTTGCAATGTAGTTTTTCCTTCCTGTATGGGAATATGAGGAGTCCTTTGCAGATTGCTTCCATGAAGTGTCCTGCAGGAAACATTTCTTGCTGGTTATACATCTGATTTGATCCACTGAGAGTCTGAGTATGGTCATTTTCAACCAAGAATATGTCTTTAATTTCCTCCATTCACTGATCCATAATAGAATACTTTAAAGTTCCCTTCATGGCAGCTACATAAAACTGTTTTCTGAGCTTCAAACTGGGACAGAAATAATAAATAATTAGTTACACTGGATTTTTCCCCCTTATACAAAACATTATAAAGCAGATGTTAGCACTTCTTTTTCAGAGAAGACTTATACTTGACATGATTAAACAATGAATCTACCAGCTCATTTACTCTTGTAGTTGCTATGAGGAAGGAAATGGGAGTAAGTATAATGAGACCCTTAGAGAAAGACATTTTGTGGTGATATATAAAACTAGGTTACAATATCACTGTTTCCTTGGGAACCCCTCATGTCTAGCAGAACTGAAAAGGAACAGATGAAAAAAGGGTATCAGAAAAATTATATTAATAACACTGCTGGTGTCAGTACATTTAGATGACTTACAGAAGCCACTAAAATAAAGTATCACATGCCTTTGATATACAATTAGAGTGAATTTTCATTTACAGATTTTGCAGTGAAGAACAATTTCAGCAGAGGATTGTAAACCAGGAATGGGAATCTGTTTTTTTGGAGGGTGGTTGTGAGTTCAGAATGAGAACTGAAAAGAACAGGAAGGGCAGGAAACTGGAGACACATGAATGGGAAGGTCAGAATTAAAAATGAATGCTCCTTAAAAATAATTTTTGTAAATGATCATACTACATGATAGCGTGATCATTTGTTGGTTGATTATAGACTACTGTTGACCCCATTACACTGGAGTGGGTAGGGAAGTCTGTGCTGTATGTTTTCATTAATATATCACCTGAGTAATGTAAATAACAGTAACAACATGAGACAATCCTGTGCAGGCTGACAGGAACATGAACAAATAATGTTTGTTTCCAATTGCAGAAAAATGTGAGGAATGATAGGTGAAACTGATTGTGAGAAATGAAGATAGAAGCTTAGAAAGGTCAAGTTGAATAATTTTTTCATTGTCATCAAGATAGGATGTCTTCTACTCTGAATCTGCTCTCTCTTTTCCAAACAAATAGCTAGATAACATATGGGGATTACAGTTCCTGTCCCTGTATTTGTTTGTTTACTGTTACCCAGTAATGGCAGAGGATTTAGTGGAAACAATACACATACCAAGAGAAAAGAAAGCGCTTGAAATTCTACAGTAATGCTGAGAGCAAGTATTTGTCATTTGTGGATGAAACATCACAGGCACATTGAAATGAAGCAGGCACTGTAATTCCAGAGAGTTCAAAGGTAAATATCCATTGGAAAGAATCTCAGCTGAATGGGGCAATGCACAAAAAAACTGTAGTGGTGTCTTGCAACCAAAACTACAGCCTGAATACTGCTTGTGTTTATGGTTGAGGCATGGCATGAAATATTCTTGAACCAACTGTGTAGCCTGACAGGAGTGACTACTTTCAATTGGTCTGGTTCTTTGTAATCATTCTCAGAAGTGATTGAGTGATTTCTCTTGTTCTTCACTTCCCTGGGATAAAATATATTTTCCAAAGGCTTCTCTACAGTTAATTCTTCCATTCAACATTCATAGATTGCTAAAGAATCTACTATCTTTGGGAAACTGATGACACATGGTTCTAAATTTCCTCTTTTTGACTTCGATGCCAGATTTATCTAGTGCCTGGAAGAAACAAGGAATTCGATGAGAGCCAGCTGGCTGGAATCCAGTCTGAAAGGTGAAGGTGATGTGAACTAGAGGAGCAGAATGCTTTCAGGACTGAATGAAAAATCATACAGTTTATTTTACAAGGATATCTACTTAAATATAATACGCTCAGTGTCTTACACAATGGTTTATGGTTCTTACCACAGGGTCTATTATAAACAAGTTTGCATCAAGAAATGGAAGAGTCTCCATTAGCTAAGGATGCTAGTGACATTTCTTAGAAAAAATTAAAATACAATGAATATATGTGCTTGATAATAGGTAGAGATTATTGTTAAGACCTGCTTTACCGCAGCAAACCTCTCATGTCCTTCTGACAATCTGTTCCTCCAGAATTTGTTTCCACAAATGAATGGTGTTTTCACATGCAGGCAGAAGTCTTTGGTTTGTGGGCCTGCATCCTAGAATTTATTTTCTGGAAATACAGCTAATGAGGACCACAACAGGTTCTGGTAGATGACTTTTTTCCCCATGTCTTTGCACCTGGTTATAAATTGATGTCATGGCAGATAACAAATAACACCATCTCCAAGACTATATGATCTGGGATGAGATTTCAAACTGCTCAAATCAAACCTTTAAAAATCACTTTATTATTGCCGTATACACTTCCATGTTATCCAGCACTGATGTTATGTCTCATAAAGTGAGAGAACAGCAAGCAGAACTCTATTGTCTCTTACAAAGTAAAGACCTACAGATTTAGATTATATTGTTTCTTTGGCGTTCTTGGATAGGGTATTTCCCATTTATTTGGTCTGAATGGCATCTTGGGATGCTTTTTTCAGAAATTATTTCTTGCCACAAAATGACTGCTCAGGTGGGGGATTTATAGGTAGCAAAAGAGTTTTGAGAGGTTTATTTCACCACTACCTGGTGCCCGTGTAGGAGGAGGACTTTCTTCTCCACGCTTCTCTAATGGGTGTCACATTCTTACTTTTCTGGGTTAGAGGAATCTGTCCAGACAGAGGCTGGGGTAGATTTCACACCTTGCGTGAGGTGAAGGACACTCCAGCAGGACCTTATGTGGGCGATCGTGGAGCAGCAGGTCTGTTGGGCTGGATGCGCACGGCTGAACAGCGATGCTCGGGGGAACCGGAGGCCAGCCCGGCGCACACCCCGCCGTTCCCTTGATGTTGCTCTGCGGTTCTCTGCCCGAACTGCGAACCGTGCCGTGGGGCCTATGAGGGGACGGGGATATGGGTGCTCTGCCGCCCTCTCCCCCTCGCCTTTCCCTCTGCCTCCATTTCCTCCTCCCGGGGCCGGCGCTTCCCCGCGCCACATCCTCCTCCCCAGGGCAGCACTCGGGGACCGGGCCGGCAGAGCGGGTGCCCCTCTCCGGCCGCCGTGCGGGCGGCAGGAGCAGCGGGAGCGGCGGGAGACGCGGGAGCGGCGGCCGCGCAGCGTCTCCCCGCCCTCCCCCTTGCCCCCCCGCGGCCGCCGGGCTCGGTCCTCCCAGCGCGTCGCCGGCGCCTTGGCTCCTCCTTGTCCTTCCTCGCGTGATTTTTATCGCGTCCATTTTTTGTGCGGGGATAAATAAATAAATAAGGGCAGCTGCCGCCCGCCGCCCCCCGCCGCGAGCCCGCGCGGCGCCGCTAGGGGCGGCAGCCGGGCCCCGCATCGCCCCGCGCCGCTCGGCTCAGGAGAGGGAGGCAGCGGGGCGATGCGGAGCCCCCTCCCGTGACTCCGGCTCTCCGCCATGCCATGGGTTAGGCGGACTCCATCCCGCAGCCGAGAGGGCACCAGCCAAGCGAGGCGGCGGCAGGAAGCGGCGCGGTCCGGCAGAGGAGCGGCGGGAGGCGGCGGCGGCGGGAGGCGAGCGCGGCGCCCCGCGGCCCCTTCCATGGACGGCGGCGAGGAATTATGAGCCGCGGCCGGCGGCCGGGACTGGCGCTCGCCCGCTGGGGCTTTCCCCGCTGCGCGCCCCGGGGCGCCGGGGCTCCGCTCTCATACGGCACCCCGCTCGGCCCCCTCGGCAGTCGCTGCCCCCGTCTCCTGACCCCCCGACGCTTGCTCCGTCCCCTCTCTCCCTGCCTGGCGCTCGGGGTTGGGATAATCTCGCTCGCACCCAAACCACAGCGCTCCCGAGGCTAATCCTGCCCTCTCCCCTCTCCCTCCCCACCCCGCCCCCGGCCCTTCCTCTCCCGGCGCTGCCCTCTCCCCTCCCCGCTCCCCCTGCTCGCCCCCCGGGGCCCCTCCATCCCCGTCCTCCCGCTGCCGCCGGCGGCCCGGCGGGTGGGTGCGAGGTCGGGGCTGCCGGGCACCCCGCCCCTCCCCGGCGGGGCCGTCATTAGGCTGCCGGTTGATTACAGGGTATTGATTTGTATGTGCTTCTCCCGGCGCCGGCCGCTCCCGCTGGTGCTGCTGGAGTTCGGGCAGCGCTTCTCGTAGCGGCGGCGGCAGCTCCTACCAAACATGTCGGCTCCCGCCGGGCCCCGGAGCGGCCCCGCCGCCCCTCAGCCTCCTCCGGCCCCGCAGCCCGAGATGCCGGACCTCAGCCACCTCACGGAGGAAGAGCGGAAGATCATCTTGGCCGTCATGGACCGCCAGAAGAAGGAAGAGGAGAAGGAGCAATCCGTGCTCAAGTAAGGGCGGGCGCATCCCTTTCTCGTCCTCCCGGGCCCGCGGCCGCGGAAGTCTCTCCTTTGGCCCCGGGGGCGGCACGGCCAGGGCGGGAGAGAGGAGTCGGGTGGCCGGGGTCGGGCAGGGGTGCTCGGCGCCGGGCGAGTGTGGGGCACGGCGGGAGGGACCCGCGGGAGCGGCCAGGGACGCGGCAACGCTCGGCGCCCGCCTTAGTCGCGCTCCGCGGGGCGGCTCCGGCTCCGCACGCCCCGGCGCCGGCGGGAACCAGGCGCCCAACATGGCCGCACAGGTGCCGTCCTCACCCGGCGTGTTCCATCGGGAGGACGGGGGTGGGTCGGGGCGGCGGTCGGCGCCGCCGGAGGGGGCGGACCGGCAGCATCGGGCCCGGTGCCGGGGGCGCGGCGGGCTCTGCGCTGGCGGCGGCGGCCCTGCCGAGCGGAGCGGCACCGCCGGGGCCTGGGCTCCGGCCGCCTGGCTGGGTGGGTTTGCCACAGCCGCCATCTTCCCCCGACAACGTGTCTGCCGCCCGCCCCCGCCCCGCTGCTCTTTCCAAGCGTGAGCCCCGGCGCCGGGGAAAGCGGGACGCCTTCCGCCTGCCCGGCGCGGGCGTGGGGGGGCGGCCCCGGTCCCGGCCCCGGCACCGGGAGCTGTCCGGAGCGACCCGGCTCAGCACTTGGAGCTAGCTGTTCACAGCCTCCCATCCCGGCTCAGCACCGGGAGCTGTCCATAGCCGCCCAGCCCAGCTCAGCACCGGGAGCTGTCCATGGCCACCCATCCCGGCTCAGCACCGGGAGCTGTCCATGGCCGCCCATCCCGGCTCAGCACCGGGAGCTGTCCATGGCCACCCATCCCGGCTCAGCACCGGGAGCTGTCCATGGCCACCCATCCCGGCTCAGCACCGGGAGCTGTCCGCGGCCCCCCTGCTCGGCGCCGGGAGTGTCCGGGAACGAGCTCGGGGCCCGGGGAAGGGCGAGCTTTCCCCGTGCGCCGTGCCCCGTTCCCGGGGTGACACCGGTCTCCTTGCAGGCCCGGGGGTCCCGCTGCCGTGCACGGCGTAGGTCACGCCCTGCCCCAGTCGGCTGGCAGACACTGAGTAAAGTCGAGAAAATTGTTCTCCCTTCGCTGACTTCTAGTGGCTTAAAAATAAGCAAAGCTGCTGCTGTCGTGAACGTGACTTTTATGAGTGTGGTGAAGCTGAAGCTCTAAGCTCTAAGTGTTTTTTTTTTTTTTTTTTGTACCAAAATTAGCGTTGTGTCTTGGACATGTTAATTGCAGCTGGCCTTTCACACTCAGCACCTGGAAGCTGTCTGGGCTTTAGTTGTAACTTTGGAAGTCTGTTTCCAAGATTCACTGCATCATACCAAAAACTTCAAATATACTTTGTGTGACAGCTCCTAAAAGTTGAGGAGATCTCCTAAAAACATTTCAAAGTCTGTTTAAAAAGGTTTTTTTTGTTGGATGAACATTCTGAAGCACGTCAGTGTAATGTGAGCACTGGAAATAAAGTACCATATCTTCTTTTGTCACCACATCTTAGTCTCTTGTGCTACAGTTTGTTTGCTATTGGGATACTTTATTTTGAAACAATTTAGACTATTTTATTAAGTTGCGTGATATACCAAAATAAATGCAAATTTTTGTCTCAAATTCCTGCACTCTTAAAAATCACTAACAAAAATAGAAGTTCAAGTTGGAAGCTGCAGGAATTAAAGGAATTAAGGTTACATTTTAAATATATAATAATAGCATTAAGGTTTTAAAAAGGGTTCCTGCCAACTTTTGCTGTGGAGAGTAATATTTATGGTCAAATATAAAGTAAAATATCAGTACAGTACTAAGATCAGCTTAAATGGTTAAACTTGCAAATGAAGAATAAACTGTTCTCAAGTAATGGTAAGGTAAAAGTAACTTAAGAAATGAAGCAGAATTGTTTTAATTTGTAATGTTGAGAATCTTGTAAGCAGACAATGGAAAAAGAAAAGGTCTTGATCAAATCTAAGGACAAAATTTATGTGGGGTTTGGTTTCTCATTATGTCTCACTAAAAGTGTCCTCTTGAGTTCTGTGTAAGCCGTGAGGGAGATGGTAAGGTGTAAAGTCTGTATATAGGATATGGCCTAAAGGATAGCCTAAAGGATATAGCCTATAAAGGATAGCCTAAAGCAGTGCTATTAGGAAAACGCTGTTGTCAATGGAATTTGAATAGATGGCCCACAATATTTTAGAGGGTAGTGAGAAGTGAGCTGGTGTCAAATGAATAACTCATCAGTTTCATTTTTCTGAAAATGAAGTGTTTCCTTGAACCATCAGGTACATGTTTATTTTAAAAATATCTACAGATTTATCAAGCACAACCCTCCACCAAAGTCCTACCAGAATCTTTATGTAGATATTACTGAGTTTAATTCTCTTGGGAGATCTTTTCCTTCTGAGAAAGAATAAAAAAGAAACCCCCCCCCCCTCCATGTTTATATGAATGAACTACTGTTATTGCATAGAGATAAATATAGAGCTAAATCCTGCAGTCTTTGTTCAAGTGTAATTCTCCTCGAAGGCAAGCTTCTTTTGAAGTGGAAGGTATTTTTGCCTCAGCAATAAAATTGTGTCATTTCATTCCGTGGAGAAATATAGGAGGATTAAAAAAAAATGCTGAAAACAAGAGTTGACATTTAGAGATATTAACACAAGGACTGTTTGAATGTTGAAGAAAGCAGCAAGCATGTATTCCCTCTATTTATTTTTAAAATAATTTATGGTGATTGAGTGTCAATATGAATGGCTATTCCCTGGGCTCTCCTTTCCTTTTCCATTCTGTTTCTGTCTTGTGCTTTTCAAATTCTTATGCTGCTCCCATCACTGTGGTATTTGAGCATTTTCCAAAAGAGCATTAAGTAGTGTGACTCACATCTGTAATGTGGACTATTTATTCTTTTCCTTTCACTCCCTGGGGTAAAGATGTGTGGGTTTAAAATAGATACATAATTTCTCCTTATGCTTGTTTTACTCTTTTTGGGGAGAGGAAATACAGATGGTATTGAGTTGTAATCTGTAGCAACTAATAGTGATCGGGTCAGCATGAATTCTTGCCAGGATTTGATGGAACATGATGGCATGGAAAGCAGAAGCCTTCCAGATTTGCTCTGTCCTTTGGCCTGGTTTGGTCTGTGAAATACGCTGAGCTACAGTTGTGCACTGTGTTCCTGAGGTGGAGCTTCTGCTTTAAAAAGGATGGGTGGCAAACTCTGCTGCTTTGACTGTCTCTCTTCTGGAATTTTTGGGACCCTTGGAGTGCATTTTGAGTGTTATGGCTAAGAAGTTGTCTTTTTGACAAGGTTATTGAATATATATTTTGCATAATATTTAATATGCGTAATGCGTGACAGAATGAATTTATGTCTGTACTCTGGGTGTAAGTCTTTGCTGTTTAAAGAATATTTGCATATTTACAACTTTTTTCTTTGTGGATATTTTACTGACTTGGACAGAGGATAGAATTTTTGATGATCACTTTTCCTTTAAGTTATGCGTATCCTTCCTCTTATAAAATCTGGTTTTGTGTGTGTAAGCTTTTAAACAGATTTTAGACAGCACATTTCCTCTATACAGACTGATTTATGGGATCAGTCTTGTGCCTTTTTACTTTTAATTTGTACTTTATTTCTGTATCAAAGAACTGCATTGAGAGAATGCACACAGGAAAAAGAATAGATGTTAGGACGCTGCCATTATTTATTAAGACTTCTGTTTCAGTCTGTATGATGTGCATCTACACGTTCCTACTTGAAATGTCACTAGTTTCCATCTCCTTTGCTGAGCAATTCTAAAGATAAAATGCTCTCCTCATAAAGTCAGACTCAGCTCTGAAAAGACATGCATTTCAACTTTTCACGAAAGTAGTAGAGAAATTTTCCCAAGAAATTTTTTTTTGTAGAATCATCCAACTTTTCATATATTTGCAAAGCATTGCAGGTTTATCATGAGGTCCTTGTAAAAGATTTCTTTTAAAAGTGTGTGTCTTTGTCAGCTGATTTACCTAAGAAAGGTGGAAACATAGTGGGCTAGCTAGAGGATGGTGGCTCTCTGTGAACCACCACTGTCAAGTCCAGAGTGAACTTTAGGAAGGTACAACTGACTGCAGGCTCAGTTGCTGGGGTAGTGATTGCAGAGAGGTGATAAAAATGGGATAGCTACACTGAATGAAGCAAAATCTCTGTCAAGCAAACCTCATGCTTTGTGAGCTCTGTATGACACTGTGAATGAGTGAGGTGTGGGGCAGGATGCTTACCTGGGGAAGAGGTAGCAATAAGTTGATGGCCATGACTCACAGAAATGTAAATATCAGACTCACAAAGCTATTGTACCATTTTTAAAATAATTATCCCACTTTATAAATAATCAGCTCTGATTTACACTGTCTTAAAAGCATTGTATATTTTGGGTTTGGATTTCAGGGAGATATATGTGGCGATTATTGATTTTACTTTTGGAAAATGGAGATATGTATAAGAATTCCTAAAGTTTCTAGAGTAAAAGGCAAAAAGATTTGCTTTTGACTAAACAGTAAACTAGGACTCCAGACAATGTTAGTGATGTTATGCTTCCATAATTTTACACTGCATTTTGTCTGAATTTGGAGTGCTGATTAGAACAGTTCATTGCTACACTACTCATAATTTTGCTCTTGTTTCTATGTATTATAAAATCAAATATGGTCCAAGTGACTTTAAAAGTAATAACTTTATGCAGTATAAAATAAGTGATAGTGGAAGTTACACAGACATATATATATATCTATAGCTGAGGAGAATACTTGCCCTCTTTCCTGCCCTGCCATGTGCTCTTCCCTTCCTACCACCTCATTCCCCTCCCTTGTAATATTCTTTATAGTCTCCCCTTTCTTTTAATAATTTGTACTGCTTTTTGGGCCTCTCTCAAAGTTGTCATTGTTCCTTGCTCTTCACTCTTATCACATGCTTAAACATTTTATACTATAGATAATACTT